CATACTTATTTTGTGAAAACAAATGGTGATATTGAATTTGGAAGGCTCAAATTCAAATACACCCTACGAAAATCACGTTCCCAAACGTACCGTTATAGAATTAGACAAGAATCACCTACAACACACAACAGTGAGCTTGCTTGATTCTTCTCGGATTCTCAAGCTTCAAGTGTGGTTAACAGGCTCTTTCCTCTCTAATGCAAATGGACATACAAATGTTGGCCTAGGTTATTTGAGTTTAATTGCAGTCTACTTCCCAAAGTCCTAGATTTGCCATGTAATAAAGCATGTTGAAAACCTACTATAGAAAGCATCTAAAAGTTGGCTTGCCACTTTTATTCTAATCAGTGAAGGACAGGATTATTACAATTTTTGTTGACTGTGACTACTTTACTTCTCTTGGTTGATAGGTATGCACGTCAAGCTAAGATCCCATTTTACAAAACGATTTATGTTGGACATCCTACAAAGGAACCCGTGCGGTATCATCAGAGGTGTTGTTTACTTATTTCTCACTATTGCCAAATTTAAAATAGAGAAAGTGATTTTTTTTTTATTTTTTTGGAGAAAGTTCAATAAAGTTCAACCATTGATTATATTTGGAGGGAGCTAAGGGAAGCACCTTTTTTTTTGGGGGGGGAACTAATACCAGCTATGATTCTGCACCATAGCTAATGCAAGGAATTGGACTAAGCCCCTGGTAGGTCCATCTCAGGTTGGGAATGTGTATGGTGCACCACAGAAATGTTGAAAAGCATGATCTTGCTTTTTGGATTTTGATCAGGGTTGATATCTTATGGGTGTGCTTGCTGTAGTTCACATGCTCTTTGGAAAGCTTTAGTAGAACCATGTTGGAGGTATGGTGTCGTTTGATGTAGAAATAAGGTTGACATGCAATTGTTGGCAAGGATTTCCCAATGGGAATGTGGAGTGTGTTTCTTGTTTCCATGTTCTTAGGGTAAAAATGATATATAAGATTAACATGAGAGTGGGCTCATTAGCTCTAGACCTTAAAACGGGCATCATTTTCCCTGCACGTTGTTCTATTGCTATGTTAGTTCAAACCAGAAAGTAGCTCATTTTAGGTTGCATTTGGGATTGCAGTTGGGCTTTTTTTCTTATAGCCATACAGTGCTTTTAGATATATGTATGTTTGGTAATTTTTTTTAGCCTATTTTTTCTAGAAGTTACAGAAAGTTACAGCAGATCTACAACAATTTTATATATAAATCTAGAAGCCTTATTTTGGAGTTTTCTGGCTGTGGCTTTCATGAACAACACCTAATATTTAATACAATTGCAAAATTACTCATTAAAATCCTACCTAGTTTAATTTAATTACATTATAATTTATAATATTTTATTTAAACTTAACTTATTGTTATTTAAAGTTTTCATAAAAAATTAAAAACTCATTCCCTCCTTATGAGTTATTCTCCTGTGAAACCTAAATAAACACTCATCATAAGAAATCTTAAAAACCTGAATTATTAAGAAGTAGCAAATATTATCTATTTTAGTAATTATATATCATGCAATATTTTTTAAATGTTAATTAATAATTAATAAAATTACTGTTGTTCATCCATAATACTTTTAAGAAATAAATAACTGTTTTTAGGATTTTTTTTTTTTTGTGTGTTGTAATAATGGATGAGTTTATTTCTTGGGAAAAAAATGGTTTCATATTAATGATTGAATCTATATTGTTCTGAATGATTGATGTTTACTTGAATTATATTCCTAAAATTTCCTTATCTATTCTGTTTTAATTGTAATTGCAGGTTAAACTCAAAAGACTACAAGGCCTTTTGTGGGCAGCCCGGAATTATTGAAAAGTTCAAAGCCTTTAGTGAAAAGTACGGGGCAAGTATAAAGGTATGATCGATAATCTTTACTTTATGCACTTTCTATCAAAACTAAGAGTTGATGGATCCATGATCCATGAAATAATAGCAATTACAAATAAATGCCACAAACATTTAATTTCATATGTTTTTAATGATTTTTTTTTTATCTTAATTTGTTTTTTGTTTGTCAAACTGTGGCAGAGCTACGCAAGCTTTTGTGAAACTAACATATGGTTTATATAGATGTTATGTTGCATTTATACTTTTGAAATTTCTAATTATAGAACTGCTAGTGTTCTAACATTTTCTTAACCTGCAGAACCTTGTAAGTGAAATGATTCAAACAGGGGGACTAGACTGTGTCACTGCTGTGGATTCAAGTAGCTTTGGAGGTATGTTGAATTCAAGTAGCTCTGGGGAAGTGGGGATTTTACAATTGTCGCTACAGCAACTTGAACCTTAGCATGGGCCAAGGCATTTTGGTGCACTTTGTCAGCCCACCTGGGGCTGCAACTTTGCTGCCTTAGTTTTTGTGGGCTAACTCTTTTGTTTTGAATGTGACAGCAATGGGAACCCCATTGACGCGAGCAAGGGAGTTAAAGAGAAAGAGAGAGGGAGAACTGAATGAGGCCCATAGGGGAAAAATGCCTGCAACTGCTTACACTACTCCAAGTCATTCCCCAGTTGGGTTTATGGCCGAGGCTCTTCAGAAATCCAGTCGGTCAGCCACTGCACTGGCTACTGAAAGATCTCTGTTCTCAACCAACCAAGGTACAAAAATACAATTATTCGCACCTCCACCTCATCAGGAGGTTGGACTAGGGAGCAAGCAAGAAGTTAGTGTGTGCGATCTTGTGAAGGTATGTAGCCAGTAAACTGAAGCCCCTCTCCTCTTGCATCTCTACTCTTTCCAACTTCTCTTTTACATTGAATTATTTCTTTTCTCTTTAATTGATTATTTTCCAACTTCATTAGCAATATGGGAAGTTCAAAGATGCTAAAAGAAGACAGCAGGAAGCTGCAGCTGCTTCTATTGATGCTAACTGCATATTCATGGAAAGGAAGAAAGAAGCTGACAACTGTAACAGAGAAGTGAAGGAGCTGGAGGAGGGGTTTGGCAAGCTCAAGGCTGAACTGGCGGAGAAGGGTAAGATTTCGGGGAATGCACTTGAGTTAGAGACGATCGGTGCTGTGATCCTTGGTTGGAATTTGATGAAGAAGCTGATGCAGTCCTGGCCTACTGGTTCGGAGTTTCGAGACTTGCCTCTATTGGACGCAATTCAGCGCTATCCTTCTCTACAAAAAGAGTTCAACGAAGGTCTGACTTTGATAGGTCAGGGACATCCCATCGATGACAAAGTTGAACCGGCTTGGCCACCGTATCAATTTGAATCGGCTTGGCCACCGGATCCAGTTGAACCATCTGACTCAGATTAACAATCAACCTTCTTCTCAGATTCTTTCTAGTATGACAGCCCTCCATGCTGTCATTTACGTTACCACCCTCTCAGTGCATCTCTGTCACCAAACCACTATGTTAGGAACTGAGCAAAGGCAAAAATCCCTATGCGCAATAGAGCACTACAGGAAAATTATACCAAAATTTACAAGGTATAGAAACAATTCTCTCTCTAACTAAACAGACTTGAGTAAATGTCACAACTCACAAAGCGATTATTAAGAAAAAAAAATTTTATTCTCAACATTATCGTACCATGTACATCTTCTTGCCCTACTCGATTGATCCCACTTAGGACCTTATAGGCCTCAGCATGCACAGCATCCACTCTGACAGAGTAAATTTTCACGCCGGCTTCCAGCGTGCAACTTGCCTATCCATCAAACTCTCCCATAAGCACTTAAAACACTAAGACATAAGCATTTAGTACAGCCATTGTATATAATTATTTCATAAAAGTTGTTCATACCCTTTGGAAATTAGTCTGTGAATCAGCTTCTGCAGCATCAACTTTGATGATATCACTAAGATGATCAATAAGCTTCAACTCCCAAGTATTCTTCTGGTTTATTTTCTAAAAAATGCATCCAAGAATAGTAATAATCAATTGAATTTCCAAGCACAGATAAAGCATTTATTTAAAATTCCCGTAGAAGGGCAAAGGAAACTGACATTTTCGCTGGCGAGTTTAATGCAGTTCTGGAACAAGTCGATGATTTGTTGTTTGCTGAGACAATAATCGGAAGGCGGTGAAGGAGGATTGGTTACGGGGGCTGTTGGGCGGATTGCAGCGGCGCGTGCGGCTGCGCGTGCCTGTGC